CAATGCTGTGCTGATTTATGTGCAGCCAAAGACAAACGTATCAGAGCATGCAACTCACCTCACTGGGAGTTGTTCAAGCCCTTTGCTTGGCAGCCAACGTCCCAACTTTCGCCAACGGTAATAAGTTTTTGGGACTCAGATTTAGAGGCAATAGCAAAGGATTGTGAAGGATATTTTGTGACGTGTAATTTCTTTGGATATATTCAGGTCGTCCTGCCGTCAATCTGGAGATGAGGAATCTTCCAAGGCAGCATATCAGAGGTTCCGTTCTACTAGTGGCCGCAGTCAGTACACTCCTGCGCCTATCTTTATGCCCCTTGCTATTGAAAAGAAACAAAGTGAAACAGTTTGAGCTTTTGACGTTGTGTATTGTCCAAATTACTCAATGTAAGACCTGGTTTTCTTTTTCTGGAAACAAATGGATGTATTTTTCTTTCCCTTTTTGTTCATCTCCTCTGTTTTTGGCTCTATGCTTAATTTTATGAAAATAATTGTGGTTATAGAGATGTGGGTTATGTCAGTTAGCCAAGGCATTGTGCCCCACCTCTTGCACCAAGTTCGATCCCCCTCCCCATTCGTCCGTACATTAGAGTAGTGAAAAAAAAGGTTATAGATTGTGTAAATTCTGCCATACAATACAACCACTCTTTAAACTGTTAAATGTGACGGATTCATCTTTCTTTCTTATTTAGAATAATAACTTCAGGACAAGTTGTTTTGACATTTTTTTTTTTACAGTTCTATCGATTTTGTAACATGATGTAACTGAAAGGCCAATACACCTCCAATTAGAAAAGAAAAAAGAAAGTTAAAATTGGATTAAGACATACAAATATGATCTTGGCTTTTGGGCTTATGGCTTTATTACATTACCTCGATTTATACGGAAAAAATAATAATAGAAATAAAACAAAATAATGTCGATGAAAATGAAATGATGCGACAAAATATATGTAAAATTGAAAAGGCACAAAGTCATTAGCTGAACAGCCTGGCGGACGACTGGCGGAGCAGAACAGAGCAGGCTTTGATTTACAAATTGAAGTAAACATCTCCGTGCGGGAGAGTTTGAGCTTGGAATCGTCGTCGGAGTCAAAGACGAAGAAGAAGTGTGGGATTTGGAGATGGCTACGGCGGCGTTAGAGAAGCTTCTGCAAGTAGGCACTAAGATCGTCGGAGTTGGCAGAAACTATGCCGCTCACGCCAAGGAACTCGGCAACGCCGTCCCCAAGGTCCTTCTTTCTCTCTCACTCTCTCCGATCCTCTCTCTGCGCTGCATTTCGTTAATTTCTGTATCTTAATTTCTTTTTTTTTCCATTTTTGAGATTTGATTTTGTTCATTCATGAAGGAGCCTGTGCTTTTTCTCAAACCGACGTCGTCTTATTTGGAAAACGGAGGCACAATCGAGGTCCCTCACCCTCTGTTGTCGTTGGACCATGAGGTGGAGCTGGCCGTCGTCATCTCTAAGAAAGCTCGCGATGTTCCGCAGGCCACTGCCATGGACTACGTTGCCGGTATACTTTTATTTGTTCATCAATTAATTCTGCTATTATTTTTATTTTTATTTTTAATTTTGAAAAGTTAAGATTTTTTTGGAGTTAAATCTAATTCAAGCTTCTGCCATGGACAATCGAATCATTTTAAGGTTATGCACTTGCTCTTGATATGACTGCCAGAGAAATTCAAGCTTCTGCTAAGGTAATTTACTATAATTAGGCAGTATATTTTCACAGTAGTCTCTAATTACAGTGGTAATACTATAATTATGATAATCAATTTGAGATTCCAATTTAAACGGCTACTACAATCGTTGGTTTCCTATCAATGAGTTACCTTAAAACTTTGGTTTTTTCGCCTTTTCATCCATAAGGGTCAATACAAACGACGCTTCGCAGAGGGAAATAAACATTACATGAACAACTTTAATATGCCGAGAGGTAACAGGCTTTTGATATAAACTGTGAAAGCAGGTTCACTGCTATGCCTGTTTCCATGAAGAATAAGGGTGGAACAGTTCAAATTCTGAACTTGCACTCTTGTGTTGGATATCTACGGTTAAAACATGTTCCTTTTATTTTCCCTCTCCAAAGTGAGAATAAAGTTTAGTACATGGGCTTAATGCGCATGTCAGTATAGTATCGTTGTCATTGTTAATGTAAGTAGTGTTCTTTGACAGTCTGCAGGTCTTCCATGGACCATAGCTAAAGGGCAGGACACCTTCACACCAATCAGTTCCTTGGTAAGAATTGCGTTGCAGATCTTTGATACTTTTCTCTGTGTTATTAGTGCTTTTCCATTGTACGTTTAGAGTGTGTGAGCCGGCTACGAAGAAGTTCGCTTCAGACCAATAAGTGCAAAAGATAACTTACTCATCACAACAATATGGTGTGGGAGTGGGGTGATATGGTGAAGCAAGATGGAAATTCATTTGTGTGTGTGTGTGTGTGTGTTTTTATTGATTATTATTATAAATTTCATGGTTCTGTATTGTTATATACTTGTATTGTAATACGGTGTGTGTTATTGCATTTTATGTGCTATATTGTTTGGTTACTGTGACATTTATAATTTTAGAAAGGAATGACATTTCTTAAAAGAAGAGAGAGTTTACTCAAGTGGAGCTGCTGAGATTAATTTACGTTTAGGTATACCCCTAGTTAACATCTGTTTTCTGGATCCCCTGTGGAGCTACGAGTGTTAGTATAGTTGTAAACTTGGAGTTTTACCACAATTACTATTTATTTATTTTTCAGTTTGGGAGGTAAATTGTTCTATCTCTATAAACAGCTATTTTCTTTTATCTTTTTAATTTTTAAAGCATGCTAAGCTATTTGACTCTCCAAACTTCATGCAGCTACCCAAGGAAATGGTGCCAGACCCAGACAATATAGAGTTGTGGTTGAAGGTTAGTGTTTCCTTTTCTACAACCTTCCTTATTCGTGTCCTGGTTTTTGAATTGGTCACCACTTCTGATGTGTTCAAATTAATTTGCTTCACCATAGGTAGATGGAGACTTGAGGCAGAAGGGCTCAACCAAGGATATGATATTTAAGCTCCCATTTCTCATCAGCCACATAAGCTCTATTATGACACTTCTTGAAGGAGATGTAATACTAACAGGTAGACGGTTTACATCTGCTTCTAAGGTTTTCCTCCCCTTGCCTAGGAGTCACAAATACTTTTGACGTCCAGCTAAACACATTTTGGCACTGTTTGTGCAGGCACTCCCAAAGGTGTTGGCCCAGTTAAAGTAGGTCAAAAGATAACTGCTGGCATAACGAACCTCCTGGACGTTGAATTCAATGTTGAAAAAAGGCAGAAGAAAGGAAGCTCTTGAGCTGATTGAATTTTCTACCAGGTGTTATTGTATTTGACAGTTCCAGGAGGAAAAAGAAAATAATTTCAACTGAAACCAGAGAACTGGAGTGAGCATGGATGCAGACACGAAGCTGTTGCAGTCTTGGTTAGCATAAACTCTCAGTTCAATTCAAGGATCTTGCAAGGCGGTAATTAAACATGTCCATTTGTTTCGTTCTTCATGTTGGGAATGAATGGAGGGATAATAAGAAATTAGTCGTAGAAATAACTTGGGATGGCAAAAAACTTTTCCACAGTTCTGAATTTGGCATGGAAGATGTCAGAGGTGCAAAGAATTTTGGTGCTCTTTTTTTATTTTAAAACAGTAATGCTATTTACTCTTGCTCCCTCCCCAGAAAAATTTCTTCCATTTGTAATTTGGGTTACTTGACAAGGAAGAGGTTTCTAGACTTATATATTTTTTATAATTTTGGATTGATTTGATGATTATATCCATGGATTTAACAGTTTTTTTTACAGAGGGATTATTTAAGAGCACCTATATTAATGTTAGGGACCATGAGTGATATAAAAAACTTTAAGGATGCAATCTGATAGTTTTGCAAACGTTTTTTTTTTGATAAAAAGCATTTCTTAAAAGAAGAGAATCCCTTGTTTAGAGGCAGGGATGGGAGGTGAGGATCAGGGGCGGAGCCACAGAGGCGCAAGGAGGTGCAGGTGCACCTCCTCTTGCAGGAAAATGCGTTGGAGATGCAGGAATTTGCCCCTTTGCTTGTGCCCTCCAAGTGTTCGATTAAAAGCCTCAAAGATGCTGTTTTGTTGTTGCTGTGTGAGACCCTGAATATTTACCTTAGATTGTTGAGCTCGATCTCACGATCACGTAGGAGAAAACGGTTCATCAATTGGACCTCCACAACCAAAGTTATAGATTTTAGAAGATTTTGAAAAATTTTCACTTAAGTTGCACACACAACCAGTCGAAGAAGAAGATGACTGTGTTTGTAGTTAGAATCCTGTGCTTCTCAACTTGCATTCCTTTTTAATGTGGTCCACTATTAGGGCGCTATGTGTCAAATTTTAATTAGACCAAATTTAGAAATTCATTAAAAATTCATATGTTCTCCAAAAAATTCACCGAAAAATACCCCAAACTCATAATCACATCTACTTTTATCTTGTGACCTCCAAATCACATGTACTTTGGGTTAGATTAATTGGTATTGATTTTGGTTAGATTAATGGATGATTTCATATGAATTTTGATAGACTAATTGTGTAATTGACATGCATTTTGTTCATATTTGATATTAATTTTGGTAAATAATTGTGTAACATGAATTTTGTGCATTTAATTTATATAGAAAATAGATTATAGTCAATTAGGCTTAGACGTAAAAGTCTTATTTATTTTAATTATGGATAATATTAGTGTTGTTTAAATTGTAAGGCTATTTGGTTATTATTATTATTTTTTCGGATGTTTTAGCCTTTTAACATTGCCCATTCCCTAAAAAATTCATAGATCCGCCACTGGTGAGGATGGAAACCTGACCCAATTGGCTCTATTTTCGCCAACTATAATTTTTAGTTTTAGCAACAGTGCGAATTTACATGGCTTGAACGCATAAAACAAATAAGCTTTACTGGGAAATTGCAAAAGAAACAAACGTCAGAGCTATGCTCACCAACAGCAACAATGGCTGTTTCTGTAACTCCACTTCTTGATCTCTTTGGTGGTTTCGGAAGTCCACACCTCATCATCATCATCATCATCGATCTCCTGCTCTACTTGTTCCTCTGCGGTTTGTTCATTTTCCAAGTCCGCACCACCTACGGGGACTGGGGCCTCGTCAACGTCACCCTCCTTCTCAGCAGCATGAATCCCCTGCTCTACTTGTTCCAACAGACTACTTTCTTTGTTTCCTCTGTTAGCAGATTTTTGTGATTTCTCGTTGCGATAAAAGTATACGGAGATACACATGTAATAAATTAGGTTAGCAAGACTTAGGTAAGTTAATAGCTCGAGAAAACGATCCAGGCGACTCCCATTTATGTTGGGATGGAACCAACTTCGCCTAAACACTAAAATGCTAGAAGCTGTAACTAATTTTCCAACACCAAGGATGAGGTCAGAGATGTGGGATGCATAATAGTACCTCGCCCTTAGCCTATCATTATTAGCAATTCGATCAGCAAGGAACTCGGTCAATCCATTTAGGGCTAGCCCCTTCATCAGTCCCAACAGGACGAACTGTGGAACTAACCACACAGCGCTCATAGGAATCGTCTTAGACGTGCCATGTTCACGTCTCTTACCGCTAACTAACTTCAACTACCTCCAACCCCTTTCCCCCAACCTGCCAAGCTGCAACACAACATAGCACAGAACATGCCAATCCGCAGCCAATTCTCACCAGTGTAGCCTTTCTCCCCTGCTTTGGAATCAGTAAGTTGTAGATAGATGAGACTAAGAAACTTGAGAAGCCGCTAACTAGTGTCAAAAATACTGCCACGTCCATCACTGACCCAATGCCACTATCTGTATCCAAACTACTCATTTGTTCAAAAAATAAGGTGCTCCCTGTTGCCTCCACCAAACTGTATGCGAAGAAGGCCGACCACATAGCTATCACTTCTATGAAAAACCCCTTTCCCGCCTTCAGTTCTATGAGTGGCCAAAACTTTTTTCTTTGTGCTTCTTCTGGTGGACACGAGGAGGACGAGAAGGTCACTCTTGTGACTATGCAAATCTCTCCTCCTCTTTGTTCTTGTTCTTGTTCTTGTTCTTGTTCTTGTTCTTGTTCTTGTACTGGATAGACAAGGGATAATTTTTTAAGATAGTACAGACGAGATTTCCAAGTAGATTTGTGAATTCTACTACTTAAGAAGTAACAGGAGTAGCCAAGCAAGAACAGCAAATAAGAGACTCCCACTAAAATTGTTGAAACCATGAACGTACTTGTCCAGGACGGAGTTGGAAGGAAAACAGCTAGCAATGCACCTAAAAACCAGGGATGGCGCCACAAAGCTTCTTTACGAGTTTCCAGTCGTTTTAAATAATTTTCATCTGTGGACGGTCTTTCTTTCTGTTCACTGAAATATTGATCGTCAAGAAATTCCTTCAAGGTAGCCGATCGACCAGCTTCTCCTATTCCTATCAGTACCGCTGCTCCATAGTATACGTTAGCCTCAGTTTGCGCGCTCATAAACTTAGAACAAATCCACAATAGGAGCAGTCCCTGCATATATGCATGCAAACTAATTAACATATATAGGGTTTCTTTTTTTGGGCAAAGGTACGCTCATGGAAATTAACTTAAGTGACAGGGGATGCAAGATTGAATTGTAATGGTAAAACAAGCTTAATTTTAAGTTTTAATGCAAGAAGACTTACAAGTAAATAAGCCGCATTTGTGGAGGCAATCATTTTAAAACGAGTCATGTGCGTGTCTGATATACGAGCAAGAACAATCACCATGATGTCTGATACGCCTTCTTGGACATTTGTAACTAGAGCAGCCATTGCAAAATTGCTAGTACGCCAATTCTCGGTGAGGTACGTCATTAAGATAGACACTAACGCATTGTTTACGTAGCTGTGGCTGAATACCAGACCTATATATATTATGCCAGCACAAAGCAACAGAAGAAATCAGAAACAGTTGTTTTCAATTCTGAAACCTGCTCGAATGAAGTAACGTCAGGTAAACTCAAAATTCAGTGAATTCAACAGGTAGTGATGAATCACCTCGGATCGTTGTAGTAGCCATGGAAAAGTAGAAGTGGTTTCCAAGCCACTTTCTCACTGAATCAATGCATTGGTAAGGAAGGATGTTGCAACGGCCCCAGATAAGCCCTAGGCGAATCATACTTTGAAGCCTCACTATTGAGTCCGCTCTGAAAAATGCTCTCATGGCAGGCAGGCAAAACCTGCAATCACAGCTTCCAAAATGCATGCTAGTGAATGTGTAGGTTAATTAATATACTTGCGTGGATAATTTGGTGGGTTAAAAATACTGAAAATTTTGGCCAAGCAAAACAAATCAAAAGGACAAATATGCAGATCCAGTAAGTACATGCATGCACGGTGTATGGTATAACATGAAATAAAAATTAGGGTTTTGTCCTTGATCTTATAATTTACACATCAGTTTGGTCACTCTTGTCTCATTAGCGCAAAGTCTTGGTTAAAACATAACATATCCAGCCATAACATAAAGCAAAGCTCTCGCTCAATAAGTCTATCTGGTTGCCTTGATGTTACCAAATATGTGAAACTTTAAACGGAAAAAGAACTTGTCGAGCAAAAATGTGAATTTTAAGACTAATTAAATTAGCTATATATTGATAACAATACCCTTTAAAGTTGGAAACGTGACCAAATTTAACGAAAGTTGTCGCAATGAGATGATAGAGACCAAATTGATGCGTAGACCAAAAGATGAAGGACTGCATTGATTGATTTGAAAGTTTAATGACTAAAATGAGGACTTTAAAAAGCTTAGAGACCTCTTAAATAAAAACCCTAAAAATATGACAATATGTATTTTTAATAGTTACTCAATTTGAAATTTGAATTCACATACATATATTTTGTAACCTAACTACTAGAAACAATAATTATTGTTAAAACATATGATCAATTTACATCTAGTCCTTTTTTTTTTGGACAGAAACTCTACTTCTAGTTTAATCACATTCATCTTTCATATTTCATTTTTATAGTAAAATAACATATATAATTGATTTATAAAATTATAATTATTCATTTTGACCCAAAATTCGGAATCAAACTGTACACTAAACCTTAAGCGATGACCCAAAGTTGAGAAATTTAACTAAAAACCTTAAGCAATGAGAGATATCTTGTTCCTGACAAAGCTACAGACTAAATTACTAAAGAAATATACACAATGTAGTTCAGATAAACATCGAAAACACAAACGAACATGCATATTAATTCTTAAAGTACAAATATATATTTAATATTTATTTTCCAAGAGAAAAACTAGAGATGCCTACCTCCAAGATTTGCTCGACTATCTCCACTTCTGTGTATTGTCTGGAAGAGTCAGTACGTATGGACTGGATATAGAGAAAAGGAGAGAGAGGATGAGGGTGAAGGTGAAGGGGAGTACGGATATATTGAGCCTCCTCAGTTTTGTTTTCCCTTATTTTATACTAGTGGTGCTCTCCCTCCCCCCCCCCCCCCCCCCCCCCCCCCCCCCCCCCC